ACGTTTATGATCCTTGTCAAGACAATAAGTGATATCTCAGAAGGACCCTTTTGTAGCTTTGGTTTGGTTCAAGATCTTGATGGAGAGATAGGATTTAAAAGCATTTACTGTACAAAGTCAGTCCTGGCTCAGGATGACTAACCATAACCCACCAGCTGTTTCACAGCATGCATTTCAGTGTAGCTTACAGCCCATGAGCAATGAAAGAGAGAAAAATCACATCTGTGACCCAATTTTTCTTTAGTTACTAGTCATTTATATCATGCACAGAATTGGATGGAACCTAAGGAAGTAGTCCTTAGTTACTTCAATTTTCTCAATTAAAATAAAAGCATTTGCTTTTGATTCACCTCGTGGGAACAAGATGAGGTTGAATGAATGACTGATTCAGAAAATATAAGCATGCACATAAACTACCCAATATAATGACTGGTAATGTTGTCCTCAATTTAAACAATAAATACATAAAAGATACAGACTCAAATATTTTGCAGCTTGTGCTAGAATGCCTTGCTCCAAAGAATGCTCAGCCAATGTCAGATGGGTATGTCAGGAGTTCATGTAGCACCGTAAACATCAGACTTGCTTTATGCAGTGGTTACTGGGATCCCAATAATTGAAACAAAAACATCCCCTAAACCAGGATTTCCAATTGTATAATTTAAATATTTGTGCTGTTATTTTTATCAATTTTGTTTGTTTGTTTGTTTCTTTTCTTAATTCCTTACTGTCTCCAAAAAAGTTTCTGTAAGGCAAGTCTTTAATGAGATATCACGTTGTCTAGGAAAAGATGGTGTTGGTTGCAATGAACAGTATTCAATAATAGAAGAGTGTATCATAAGTCTGTGTGAATGCATGATTCATACAGTTAACAGTCATTCACAGAGAACTTTCAAACAGAATTTTTAATTTGATCCTCATAAATAGAGGGGTGGGCAAAGGTAGGTTTACAGTTGTGAGTATGTAAAACAAGAGTTTATTCTTATATTACTATTCATTAATTATTATATTTATTATTAATTATTATTATTAACCTACATTTGCCCACCCCTGTACATTGTTAAATTGGTGTTGTCTCCTCTTCTGCTTAGTTGAGTCAACGTAAGGAAAGGCAACCTGTGTCTCCTGAGGGAACTGGGCGCCGTGAGTGGGCCGGGGGACAGGCCTCGACCCCAGCACTGGCTCTAACCTTCACTGGCTGTGGGATCTTGGGCAAGATCCTCATGGATCATTTTCCTGGCTTGTGCGATGGTGGAAGACAAGTGAAGTTTGTTATTTTGTTATTTCTTCAAGGATAACAAAAATCGTCCTTGGAGGAACTAGGACACGGACACCTCTTGATTTAAAGAACTAGAGGAAACACTTCATGGCTCTCGTCACCACTGAGGCAGCAGGGCAGCCCGGCCTCCTCCTCGGCTCCCCTCTGCATGTTGGCATCAAGCAGCAGCAATATGGCAGTTTTGATACAAATGAACTCTAAGGTGGGTTATAATCTCTAATATGTGTGTGTGTACATATCCCAAGTGGAGGCAAAATTACACATGGATTTATTCGTAAGAAAAAAGCAATTCAAGGTAACGTGCCTGGTTGCAGCATGTGTAGGCGCGTGAGGTTCCCATTCCACAAGGCCATTATTTGCTGATAGAAAACATTAACCCAGAGGATAAAATAGAAAAATTATAGCAAATGTTACAGATTCCCTGAAAGTACAGTCATACGCCACTTAATAATGGGGCTATGTTCTGAGAAATGCAATGTTAGGTGATTTCATCATGGTGAGAATATCCTAACGTGCAGTTCCATAAGCCTAGAAGGTCTAGTCGACTGCACACCTAGGCCAGAGGGGAGAGCCTACTGCTCCTAGGCCACACACCTGTACAGCAGGTAACTGAACATTAGGCAACTACAGCGCAATGGTAAGTATTTGTGTATTGCAATATAACTAAACATGGAAAAGGGACCGTAAAGTTACGGTATTGGCCCTGGCTGGTTTGGCTCAGCGGTCAGAGCGTCGGCCTGCGGTCCAGAGAGACCCGGGTTCAGTTCCCGCTAAGGGCATGTACCTCGGCTGCAGTTTGTCCCTGGCCCTGGTTGGGTTGTGCGGGTGGCAGCCACTCGATGTGTCCCTTTCACGTCGGTGTTTCTCTCTTTCTCTTCCTCTCTCTCCCTCCCGCTCTATCTGAACAAAGAATGGAAAAATGTCCTCTGGTAAGGATAAAAAAATATATACGGTATCAAAGATAAAGAATGGCGCATCTGTATACAACGCATACCATGAATGGAGCGCGCAGGACTGGACGTTGTTCTGGGTGAGTCGGTGAGTGAGTGGTGAGTGAAGAGGAAGGCCTCGGACATGACTGTGCACTACTGCAGACTTCATAAACGCCAGACACTTAGGCTACACTGAACTTACAAAACAGATGAGGGTAAATTAAGCACAAGAAACAATGATCAGTCGAGAGACATGGTAAACGTGAGAGGTAGGAGGTTGTTGCTGGGTAATACAGCATACTATTTGCAGCAAGCCTTTCTTTATAAGTAGAAAGAGTGCACTTTAAAATAACAGAAAAGTATAGTGTACAGAAACAAAGAACATAGTTGTTTATTATCACTATCAAATATTATGTGGCTAACTTGTGACTAATGTGTTGAGTTACATTAGTGTGGCTATGACATCTCTAGGCGATTGGAGTTTGGGGCTCCATTATAATCTTATGAAACCACCACTGTACACGCAGTCATTATGCAGCATATGACATTATTATATTATTATACTAAGAGTAAGAATGACCATATTGATCACCTTTTCCTTTATAAGAATCCTGTTGTGAACACATGTGCTCTCTCTATGATTTATTTGTTACCTCACCTTACACATGCCCACAGGGCATTCACAGTGAAAGATTTGCACATCTCACCCAGGAATGATCTTGTATTGTTTGGAGGAAAAGTACAATACAAAGTCATACTTTTTGTTTTAAATTGATTTAAAGAGAGAGTGAGGGAGGGAAGGAGGGAGGGAGAAAGAGAGAGAGAGAAAGATTGATTTGTTGTTTCACTTAGTTATGCATTTATTGGTTGATTCTGATATCTGCCCTAACCTGGGATGGAACCTGCAACCTTGGCATATCGTGATGATGCTCTAACCAACTGAGCTACCTGGCCAGGGCTCAAAGTCATACTTTGAATCATGACATTCTATTCCATCCCAGTGGAATCCAGATTAAAGCCATTTGGTTTTCCTTTAGCATACCAATCAGAGGGCCAGACTGCTATGAAGGAGACATCAAAGACATGTGTCCCTGGAATTCTAATAGAGCTCAGAAGTCTGGGTTTTATCCCGTCATCTGAAGGGCTGTGCACAAATGAGCAATGCTTAAGAAATACCCTTTGATGATGATAAAACTATATGACACTTCAAAATAGCCTGTTTCGTGGAAAAATAACCTGCCACATTTCAAATTCTGAATATAGCTAACATGAAATAGAATTGTGTGGATTAACTGTTACAATAAGAGGGAGCTCATTTCATCCTGCCCTTGTCTATCTGGCAACTGCTAACCACCCTTTAAAATGCAGCTCAGTGATCAGCTTGGCATGATTGCATTGTTTTACATATGTTTACATCTGATGTCCCCCATGAAGGTAAGTAAAGTCGGCCAAGGTGCCTGCTTTGTTGTTGGATATCCACAGGCAAGGGGCACTGAGTAAATGCTTATGAAATCATGAGGAAATGTGCACAGTTGGGCCTCAAACAACAGTGTGGGGCTCGCTGAAGGAGGACTCATATTAAAACAGGTGGAAGAGTATCAGGTAACTGAATAAATTAGCCAAGGGTGTTTGGGCTTAGAGGTGAGGAATAATACTAGAATATCCTTTAGTTTGTACAGAAACTTGCCTTGAAGTACAGATAATTTCTTTCTTGAAAATAATTTACAACATTTATTGCAAAAGAAAACAGGTTTGCAAATAATCTAGTTTTTGGATCTAACATAGAAGTTGCAAATTCCACTAAAAGTTTCCATAGTTCACAGTATTAGGTAAAAACCAAACCAAAACAAAACATGGGCCAACAGTAATCACTACAAAAGTTCAGTATACATAACATACCAGTGGGCATCCGTGTACGATTTCCTCACATTTTACTAAGAAACATGAAGAAACCAAACAACAAAGTCACCCGTGGGACCTTGAACTAAGGTGACATGCCCATTATCTAAGCTGGTGCTACTGTTCAAGGCAGACCATGTTTCTTTGAAACGAATTAGTTGAATGCAAATCTCTCTGGAGTCTCCTCTCCGAGGAAATCTCTCCGAGGCATCTCTGAAGTACGAATGTGTTAACACGCATATAACAATATGAAATCATCGCAGTTTACAATAAACAGAGAGAACAAAGCTATTCAGAAGAAGTAAACACGACCTACATGGACGGACCTGCGACTTCACTGTTAGGGCCCCAGCACGCACGGTGCCCCGTCACGTTTCGGCAGTGAGGCGGGCTGCATGCCTCGGCCTTCAATCTCTGTAGGTTGCTTGGTAACTTAGGGACCCAGCAACTAAATGAATGGCCTTGCATTTCTGCAGGTGAGTGACCTTTAATGAACTAAAAGAGAGGTAGAGTGAAGGTTAGGAATGACCACGGCTTGAGAACTCAGTCCTAGCTTAATGGCCCTCCATCCATCCACAGAAGAGGAGACAGAGGATGAGAAGAAACCGTTGCTCTCACTCACACCCACTTAGAGCATCCCACCCTCTCCCAGTATGAGGGTCTTCACTAACCTGTGAAGACTGTACACGTGCCTCCTGGACCCTCCAACAACACCCCAGGGTCTAGTCTGAGTATACAATGAACTCCCTAAAATGGTTCTCACGCTGTCTAGTACCTTGATCTTTTTGTTTTGTGTTTTGTTTTGGTCTTTATGCTGCAGGACACCTAACTTTTTCTGTAAAAGTGAGTCTCAGGAAACAGGATGATTGAAGCCACACTTGCTCACTCACCTCCTAGGATTTTGGACTGGCAGTTAATGAACTCCGGCTTCCTGTCTGTGAGGTACCTCTGGCAGGCGTGGTGGAGGATCTGGAAGAAGGTGCATTTTTCTGAGGCTGTGCTGGCTACCCACTGGTCAAAAGCATTTTCAAACAACAAATCAAACTCTGCAGAATCCTGGAAAACACAGTGAAATAACTACTGATCTCAATGTATAAAAACTGCTGCTTCTAGCTTATGCCCAACAAAACTCATATAAAGGCTTCAACACCTGTCCATGCTTAGTTCCTAACCAAAAGGCTCATCTTTATTAGCGCCCAGGTGCATGGAGGATCACTTTTCTCTGTTTATCAAGCAAGCCCCAAATCTTACAGTATTTTCAGATGTCCCTCAGAAGTTAGTATCACTGAAGTCCCTATAGACGACCACACACTACTTGTGTTAGAATTCAGACGACATATCACCCTCCCAATTACTTGGGACATAATTCAGGTTCTCAGCACTAACCCATATTAATCTTGCCCTTAATCTTTGACAAGAAAAGATTCTCCCTCATTACTTTAGCAAATAGTTACAATGTACATTTTATTTTTCTTCATTATTGATGTTTTGTAGGGTGAACGTGCGTGAGCAAAAGGGGAAAAGTATTCTGTATAAGTAACTCTATCATGACATGTTTCTTGTATTAAATTTAAGACTCCCAAACTTTTAAGGTGCCATTCATTTATTACTATTATTATTTTTTTAAGTAAATAAACCTCATCATTGGTGGCATGAGGAGATAAGTGAAGCTTGAGGAAACATGGTTTTTCACATTGATAACTAAGAACATTAATCTGAACTCTGGTCTTTGCACTTTGCCGATAAACATGTTACTGGAGGTAGCATTTCTTCCATCTGCATCCCCTTAGGTTCCTGCAATAAACATGCTGAAAAGGTTTATAATCCCCGGTAAGAAGGGCACAGAAATTAGAAAGTCTTAGTTGTGTAACTGAAGGAGAGACATAGCTTTGTGAAAAACAACTCAAAACAACTACCACCACAGCCAAGATCCATACAATAGTCTTCGGGTGAAGAGACCACCTTCACTCAACACTCAACAGGTCACTCACCCGATTAGGGTCGATGCCGTTAACCTGGCGAAGCTGCTCCAGCATCCACTGTGATCTCCGCACGAACGACGTGGAGCCCTCAAACTGTTTGACCTTCGTAATGGATGCCTGTGTGGGTTTCTTGTTTGTCACTGCCAAGAAAAGACCACAGATCAGTGGGCGTGTCGGTTGGCTGGTTTCCTCTGCCCGTGGCTTCCACCTCACACCTACATGCGTACGCAGAATGAGAGCGAGAGAAGAAAAAGTATGTGTCTATACATACAGATAAAAATCTATAGATCGATCTATCTAGAGAATGAACGTGTGTGCCTTGGATGAGGGGTGAAGTAAAAAGATACAGAAGTTATAATCTCTACTCTCAAGCAGTCAAAATACGACGATCATTGTAAGGGCTGCTTCGTTTATGTCTTCATTCAAACTGAACACGACTTAACCGAGTAACACCAGACACCTTGAATGGAGGCTGCGAGTGCGCGATTACCACCTGCAGGGGAGGCAGCAGAAGGGGCTGACAGGCACCAGCTAGGGGGTCACTGGGAAAGGCTGAATTTTAGAGGAAGTTCCTTTAAGGAACTGTAATGCATATTTCTAATGTCATAGTGCAGAGTAAACATTTCAGGTTTCAGTGGTAAGGAATAATACCTCATCCAAAAAAAAAAGAGGAACATACGGCTTTGAAATATAGTCCAGCTTGGATAAAATTTGCACCTGATTATGACTGTATCTGGAATTCTGGGTGCTCCACCCCCAAATAAATTCCTGAGGTCACCACACCTGCAGGACAGGGCAATTCCTCCTCTCCGCCTTAGTCATGCTGATGGTGGTCAGTGTCACCTCTCCAAAGAAGTCAAGCACCAGCCAGCAGAAGAGGGTCCCTTGGAACATTGCTATGTCTGCTTACTTCATGACTTAGAGCCGCAAGGGTGGGGAGGCCATCAGTATCCCGAAAGGGCTTTCCTAGAAGCTCCCCTGAGCCTCGGCTGGAGGCATTGTGAGATTGAACAGAAACCATGGATGCTGTCAAAGAGTGGAAAGCACTACTTACCCTAATGAAGTCTATCTCGATAAGGCTGTGCGTCCGTGGCACATTCTTTCCTTGTTTCAAATCACCCCACAGACCCCATGTTTCCAAATAACTATGCAGATGCTCAACAGATGGCAAAAAGAGTCCCGGAGGGATGAAGGACAGAGAGGACCTCCTACAGTCCTGTCGGGGGTAAGGCTCCCTTTCATGCCTGCCGGAGCTCTGCGCTAGAGTCTGGGGTCAGGAGGGGAGAATGAAATGGGGCACCTGCCTTTAGGTCTGGAGAGCATCTCCGTCGTTCCAGGACTGAAGACTATTTTTCTGACTTCAGTACGCTCTCATCTTTTTGCTCTTAACCAGAACTTAGCAAATATTTTTTAAAAATTTTCAAATAATGCTTAGGCTTAGTACCCATTATTTCAGTTATATTTGGCTAAAAGCGTCTGAACATTTCACACGAATTACATTTACTTTCATGGTTAAAAAGTCATCATCCCTTGAACACCCACAATCAGAGGAAACTGTAGTCTTCTTTGCCCAAATGGCCTCTCCGGCCTTCAGCGCCCAGTGTAAGCCTGTTAAGTCCCATTAGGAAAAACGATCACCAGTTTGCTCAGGGCTCTGTCCATCCGTTTAATTCATTTGTTTTTACGTGCCTCCTATGACAGAGCGATCTAACAGGTCTAATAGTCATGACCTGCTCTTGTATTTTAATGTTCAAGTAAATAACACACGTGGAATATATGCAGGTCCTAAAATGTGCTTAAAAGATTAAAGAATGCTTTTCAATAACAGGAAAACATGGGTTCCTGTATTAGACACACATCCCTAAACACAAAGAGGATTTCCTCCTCTGTTTATGTAAATCACCGGGCATTTCGGCATCCTGGGAAACAAGTTCGTAACTTTCAAGTTGTTACGACCTGTTTTCCCTTCTGGCCCACTTGTTTCCACGCGGTTTGCAGCATTGCAAAAGCCCAAACCCAGCGCGAGGTCGCTGTGATCGGTGGCACTGTTTAGAAAGGCAGGTTCCACTGGAAACTCCGCACGGACATGAAAGGTGCAGGAACCCCACCCCCATGACGAACACCCCACAGAACTGCTCCGCAGACATCGCACTGCAGAGGGGTCATTTTTTTTTTTTTTCCATTGATTTTTATTTTTATTTTTTAGATAGAGTGTGAGAGTGGGAGGAAGAGAGGGAGAGAGAAACATCTATGTGAAAGACACGTCAACTGGGGCCGGAGATCAAATCTGAGATGCTTTGGTCCAGGGGCCGCCACTCTAACTATTGAGCTAATGGGCCAGGGCACAGAGCAGTCATTTCTAATGGAAGCAGCTATGACCGCATCTAGTCCTGCCTTCCCCCCATATTGGTTTATCCCTTGCCCAGTTCTTGGAATCTGGGTAGTTTTCCTGGGCACTGAGCCCGGTTTGGTTTAATTTTTTGTTCATTGTTATTATTTCCACCATCTCAGCTTCTATTTCGAAGCAGGTGCCTTAAAATTATATTATTATATACACATTGTATAGAGTTAAATAAAGACCATTCCCTCCTGCAGTCAAAACACTGGCACAAACACAGGGCTGCCAGACTTTCTGAGTCTGTGCTTGACAAAGTCATGTTTTAATCCTTTCTTTTCTTTTCTGTTTTTTTTTTTAGTTTTATGGGTTCCATAGCTAATAAAAAAACAAGCCAAACTTCAGATGGTTAGTGAAAAACAGTAATGTATCTTCTTTTTCCAAAGGAAAGCTAATTGATAGCATGCCTAGAAAATAAAACCTAAAGACCTAGACCAGTAATATAATAGTGCTCTATGTCCAACTACCCCTACAATAGATTCCATATTATTATTTTGAGTAAAAGGCCAGATAACCAGAGCGTTTCTGTCATGCCATCAACATTCATGAAGAAAAGGCAAATAGATAGGCATTTAAAGGGGTGAGATGGGCATGATTCTCCCAGGTAATACTAGAGACCATCCAAATCAGCCCAGTCTCCGGATTCTCCACGCCGACTGCCCCTCAGAATCACCTGGGAGTTTTATCACCAATACACCAAACCGTGTGAATCAGCATCTCAGAGGTGAGGCCCTGACATCCGTATTTTAAATCCCCCCAGTTGGTTCTGAGGCACACTGACTGATGAGACCACCGAACTTGTGTCTTTACTTATTTAACAAATATGTACGGGACGTTTATTAGGTGGAAGACGCAGAAGTCAGTTTTGCGGGCAACTCAAGAATGAAGACATGGTTCAGAATCACGAACTCGGGCAGGGTGAGGAATAATGCAGAGCAGTATTGTGGCATCGTAGGATAAATGACAGGAAGTCTCCTGAGTTGCTGGGGAGGGGCAGGCTTTCAGGACCGGGCGGAGCTGAGGAAAGCTAGGGAGGCTTCATGGAGCTGACACATTCCAGACAATACAACATCAGCCCTCGCCCGGACTTCCATGACCAGCGTGCACTAGGGAAGACCGCGCCAGCGTTGAAACTCTCTTCAGTGGCATTCCAAGGCCGTCAGAAGGAAGCCCAAGCCACTCACCGCGACCTGCCAAGTCCTCGATCCCCTGGCCCTGCTCCTGGGAAACAGCAACCTCTTTCTACGTTTTGCAAAGGCTGCTCCTTTCAGAGAACTACTCCTTTCCCTCGTTCTATTCCAATGGTTGTCTATTCAGATTTCAGCTCACATGTGAACTCCGTGGAAAAATAATTCTGCGATCATTTTTTTTTTTTCCCCAAGTAGGTTCCCCCACCATGTTGCTCTTTCTTTCACTAAACTCTGTTCATTTCAAAACAGATTCATTTCAAGCCTGGATAAAATAATCAACATTCGCTTCTCCGACATATTTGTGAAGAACAAAAAACCCGATTGCTCTCAGGTCCATTTAGTCCAAACGTGTGCGATGTGGGTAAGGCCCCACGCTGATCTAAGCTCCACCTACCAGCTGGTGAAGCAGAAGAGAACAAACTGACAGAGTAACACATTACATTTTCCACAGCATTTGGAACTTAAAAGAAAAAATCTCTTTTTTACAGCTTCTGGCACAGAAAGCACCGACTTGCCAAAGTAACACCGTTAATGAATGGAAAAACTGCAACCGACACAATGAACTTGAGTCTACTGCTCTTTCCATTATAGCTTTTTGCTGTATTGTCAGATGCCACATTTTATTGGGTGTGGGATGCTCATTAAGTCAGGATTAATTGAATCATTTCGTTCTAATAATGACACGACTGCTGTGATTCTGACAATATTCTGAACTGGTATTTCCTTAACAGTTCCCTTTAAATAAACTCGCATTTTACTTAAATAAGTTTATGGAAAAAAAAATATGCTAAAGTCATAAATAGATACAGCTGTGCCTATATTAAACAAGAAAAAATATATATATAATTGAAAAAAATACAACGACCACATAAATGCTATTAATTTCAAATTAGAGAGTTGTCTGTGGAGGGCTGAGCAGCAGATGTCTACTCTGTGGCAAAACGGTGATGAGCAAGTGTAGACACAGGCATTAAAAACTATCACAACATAGAGATTTTCCTAGATACAAGCACAAAGCCTGGCCAGAAATGGCTTTTCTAAGACCACTGCTTGATAAGCATCGGAACTCACTAGGTCAAGTTTCGGAGTTATCCAAAGCGACCGTTGTTCACGCACTCCTACTCCGTGAACCCACGGCTCTCGGGGGGATCAGAGGGAGGCAGCATGTGGGCCGAGCAAACTCAGGACCTTCTGCTACCAGCTCTGGAAAAAAGAATGTGGTTTCCATGGCTGCGCGCCTCCTCTTCAGCCTTCATGTAGAGCTGGTTTCCATCTCAGCGCTAGTGAAGAAGCAGTGACAGGAGCTATTATGTCTGGAATATCATTACTCAGTTTGCATACCATCTTTACCTATTGAACTAAGGGCCTAGCGAGGTCTTTTGAAAAATGGTCCCTCCAGGAAACATTGTACAAAAATAAAATAAGACACTTAGTCAAGGAGTGGAGACCACCAGCCTTGCTTCTGCCCCATCAGAAAATTCTATTTAATTAAAAACCAATATGCAGGTCTGGCCGGTGTGGTTCAGTGGTTAAACATCGACCCTTGCACCAAGAG